GGGAAACTGAGCCCCAGGGATGCGAGGCTATACTCAAGGTCACCTGGGTGAGCTAGACCACTGGCCCAGAGAGATCTTCCCTTCTAGGCCTCGCCCTGACTATAGTCCTCACAGGGCCTACCAACAAGGTGAAAATTCCAGTTCTGGACGAATTCCAGGTGGCCTCTGAGGGGCTGAAGGATGGCCCAGTTCACCACACCCAGCTGCTTGAGGCTGAAGAGCCCAGTGACAGTGACAGAGTGATCTTCGGGGAGCAGCTGCCTTCCAAGGAGGGATGGAGTCCAGGCAGTTGCCTGGGGCCTCAGCATATCCCAAGCCAGCAACTGACTTTCAAGCTCCCAACAGTCCCTAGAGTCCTGGCAACCAGGACCCTGGGCATAAGAAATGTCTGCTCTGCTGCCTCGGCTGGCCCTGGTGACAGGTTCAATGGGACAATAATATGTTATGCTCAAACCATCATGGCAGTCCCTCATGCCCATCCACCCCAGTTCACTCGGGATGCCCTGGGCAGAGTGTGGCCTAGAACACAGCAGGTATTCAATGCCGGTAAGCTGAACTACCACAGAGGCCAATAATGACAGCCACTGTCCCTCGCACTGCCCCAACCACCGTGCCCTGGAGAAAGATCATCAGATCCAAGTTCAAATGTTCCCTTTGCCCTGGCCAGGTGAGCCAGGTCACTGGCTTCCCTTCTGAGAACGGTGTCGCCCGACAGAAATTTCAAGCAAGCAACAGGGTATCTTCTGAGGTTTTCCAAGGGTCACATTCAGAAAAGCGGAAATGACGTGGGATGTGACTATGGGTGATGTTTTATTTAGCCAATATTTCAAAACGGTACATTCTAATATACTGCAGGACAAAGAGACGCTTGCTTCCAGGGTCTGAGCCCTGTTGTGTTTTATACTACTCCTTGGCTGAGTGGAAGCACACCTGCCAGCAGAGGCAGCCCGTGCCCTTCTGAGGGCAATGCTCCCTGCCCCACAAGGGCCTGCTTGCAAAGCCCCGGCAGGGCAGCAAGCACATGTGACGAAGGGCTACACCAGACGGCAGAAAATGGATCGATCTACCCCCTCCCCAGGGGCCTTAGCTGCCCACCGCTGCTGTTAATACTGGTGGGCCCGGCTGTAAGGATGCTGTCCCTGCAACAAAGCTCACTCATAAAGCCAGCAGGAGTCGGCCTCAGTCTGCTCACGTGAGCTCAGATTAGGGGTGGCCGTTATGCCTGGTCATGTCTGAGAGCAAGCACACGATGGGCAGAGCCCTGCGTTCTGGATCTGGGGACAGTGCAGACCACAGTCCAGGCCAGGTGAGCGGGTCAGAGGGTCTGGGCTCAGGAGAGGAACTGGGGTTCGTGCACGCTCAAGGGGAGCACGAACAGATCTGCTCAGGATCTTCTGGATGCTCTGAGCTCTTTGGAGGCTCATGGCATCCTATCAGTGTCTTTCAGCCTCGGCTCTCCCCCAGCTTGCATCACAAAGCACCTGCCCTTTAAGAAAAACACTCTCTGCTTCCTGGCCTCAGGGCCTTGGCACATTCTGTTCTCTGGAGCTCCTTCCCTGGGTTCCCCTCTGGGGAAGACTTTGCTGAAAGTCCTGGCTTGATTATGGTGACTGTTAGCAGCTCCCTCACTTTCAAGGGAACCCACATTTCTAGCAGGCTACACAGGTGTCCCCACGCGTCTGGCCTCATGCCTCTGCTCTGTCCCTCCCCCATCTCAGGGCAGAGCTGGGCTGCACCTACAATGTATGTACCCTCAAGGTCACTCTCAGTCAGTAGAAGAGACCATCGGAAGAGTTCTGCACCACCGCCCTCCCAGAGCCTTGTGCGAACAGTACGGGACAGGCTTACCAAGCAAGGAATACCATATCAGCAGTGGGAAATCTAAAGACTGTCTTGACCGTCTCAAAATAACAGAGCCACCACCTCTCTCAGTGTGCCAGACTAGGCTAGTGTCATGGTCATCATGGGAGTGTCGAGCATCCCGTGCCTGGAGATACCCAGGCACTTGGACAGGCGTTGCAGAAGGACTGCAAATTTCCAGAGGGGCTTTGCTGTCTTAAGGAGGTTTCTCTTCCCTTCAACATTTAAACTTTAGGATTGGTGCAAGGTCACAGGCAAGGCCTAAAGGGGGCTGGCCCACCATCCAGACCATTGCCCCTCTCGGGGACAATCATTAATTGGCCCTGCTCGAGAGGCTGCTCCCACGAGAGCACTCCGGCTGCCTGCCAGTTCACAGCCAGGCTTCCGGGCATGTCCAGGCATCCAGTGAGCCTCTCAAAGTGGCCAGCTCACAGCCTGCTTGCTGCTTCTGACTTGCAGCCACTGAGAATGGAGAAGGAGCCTTCTCATATAGGCAAAGCCCCTGCGGTTCCTGCCCTTGCTCCATCAGCTCGGCCTGTGGCCAGAGCTTCCCTGCTTGAGTGCGGCAGGAAGCCACAGGAGGCTAAGGCAGGGCAGCAAGACCCAGGCTGGGCTCCAGAAAGCCTGCCCATCCCGGGGCAGGGAGGGCTAGGAACAGGCACAGGCTGACCCAGCTTGAAGGTTTGGAAAAAGGCCCCCAAGAGAAAGGGGGATAAGCCATAAAGACAAGACGTATAGCAGACGGGAGAGGCCTCTTGGGTTGAGAAATGAGGCTGAGGCAGACAGAAAAGCCTGACGTGGCTGAATTCTGGTTTGAGGGAAGCAAGGTGAGGGGCTCCAGGCCAGGAAGTTAACCTGACCACAGGGCAGTAGAGAGCTACTGCAAAGATTAAGCATTGCTGGGTTTTGTTGGTGGTGATGGAGTTGAAACTCAGGTAGACTAGGAGGGCCAGTAGCTAGCAAAGGTGGCAATGACAGGCCCATACTGTGGCAACCTGGTTTAGGAGGTGCTGGGGAATCAAACCCAGATCCTTTGGTGTACCAGGCTGGATGTGTACACATAGAACAGAAAGGAAAGGACACAGGCTAGCTCCTGTCTGACCCAGTACCTGGGTCTGTGGAGGGCGGGAGGCATTCACAGCTTCCAGAGGACGACCAGAGAGAGAAGCAGCCCCGGCGAGGATCATGGAGTAGACAGATGGGGAGCAGAAATGACAGTAGGTGTTCAGGAGGGTAGGGGGAGCTGGGCACAGCATATTTGCAAAGCCAGATGCCATGCAGAAGAGCCAAGGTACATGGGGGAGAGTAGTGAGACTCAGAACATAGGTGACAATGAGCTGTCAGGCAGGGAGGGCTCTGTGGAAAGAGTCATCCATGTGTGCCTGGGAATAGCGAACAGCTAGAGACAGAAAAGCACCCAGGTTGATGAGTCAAGATGGAAGCCAGGGATTGGGGACAGTCAGCAACACGGAGGCCATTAATGACCTGGACAAGAAGCTACGTGGAGCCGACAGCTGTGAGCTCGGTTATCAGGAAGCCTCCCAAGGGCCCTGAAATGTTCTGGAAGGTGGGATGAATCGCCAGGTTCTCTCTAGGAGAAGCACCTGAGGCAGGCATGGTTCTCTCAAGAGCTGGGGCCACAAACAGTGGGAAGAACAGACTATTGAATAAGAGCCTAGTCCCCAAGGGAGCAAGGGGTGGGAGGGGCACACGGGGCAGCTCCGCCTCAGTGGCTTCCTTCCTGTGCTGGTGGGCCCAAGGCCACTTCCTAGGGACTACTTATGATGCTCTTCAAAAGGTGACACTGTAAGGGAGGTCAGGAAACAACTGCGGAGCCAGCATTGCTCCTGAGAGGACAGTGTGCACAGAGTCACTGGGGCACTGGGGGAAGTCTCGGGGCTGCTGTGTGTCTCTCTCCCTGTGCCCTGTGTTCCCACAGTTCAAACCCCCCACTTCTCCGAAGCTTTACCCTGATTGCCAGATGAGGTGACCCTGAGACTTTACAACACCAGTTTCTTCACTGTGGGTCTGGTACTCACAGATGCCTGCACACATGGCACCTGGGGAAGTGGGTGGGAAGCCACACAAGGCGGGCACCTCTGCCCACTACTGCCCTCCCCATCACCCCCCCTCCAGCTGGCACCTGGAGGGAGCGATCTGCACTTGGGTGGCACAGCCCTGGGGAGGGGGCGGTGCCACGTTCCTGGCTGCACTAGGTGCCACCCACAGGCTGCTCACCGCAAAGGGAGTTTTCCCCTACACCACCTCCAGCCCCGTGCTGCTGTTTGCAGCCCTGTAGAGCCAGCTCTGGCCTGAGTCCTGTGGCAGCTGCAGACCCCTTGGGTATGGAGGACACAGTGGGCCTGAAGGCTAGGCAGCCAGCAAGCCTTACCCTGTTCTTCCATCTTACCTAGAGAAGGCAGTCAGAATCACTGTCCCCGCCCACAGCATTTGCTGAGCACCTACTGGTTTCTGGTGTTGAGACCCAGACAAGAGCCTACTGGCTAAGGACACCGAAGCTCAGAGTAGCCCTGAGGAACACAGCTGGATTCAGATCCAGATACTTCCTGGAAATTTCCTTTAAGCCTCCTTCTAGCCCTGCATAGGGTCCTCCCTGGGCTTTGTTCTTGAAATGTGAAGCGGGCACCGTGTAGCTGGCACTGTGCCTCAAGGGCAGGCTCCACCACGCATCCCTAGGTGGCTGTGCCATCAGCAGCCACCCCAGCTGACATATTCTAATAGCAGATGACCGCCTTCAAAGGAAGCACCCTTGCTGCAAGGTCATCCCACCTCAGCTCATGGCACCTGAGCAAGGAGCAGGTAGCATCTCACAGTGTTCCCTGGGGGAGCAGCAGCTCTTACCCCATGTCCAAAGCCTCTCGCGTTCTCCCTGCTTTCCCAATGGAAGCCACAGAAAGTGGAGCAGGGGCTTGGGCACTTGAAGCTACAAAACAGGCCCAGCCACTGCATTGACTCCCCAGGTTCTGCTCCTGTCTATGGGGTCACTGTGCCCCACCCCACCCCAAAGCCCAGACCTAGAACATTCATTCATACACACAGGCTGTGGGCTATCAGGTCTGGATTTGGGTTGGCTGGTGGGTGACCTGGCCCCCAGCCCACAGGCCCAGAGACACCCTTACCTACTCGGAGTTCTTGCCCGAAGACGGTCTTCTCGCCCAGGGCGGAGCAGTTCCAGCGGCCGAATCGGAACTGGTGCTGGCACTCATCGATGCCCATCTGCGCCCCCTCCCCGATCACAATGATGGCATCGGGGCGGCTCTGGCAGATGGCACGCTGCCGTGGGGCCAGGCCAGGAATCTTGTTGCAGATGATGTTGGCTCCTAGGGCTACCACTGATGACAGTGCTCTGCGGGGGCAGAGAGAAGAAAGGTGTTGAGAACCCCTTAGGCAGTCCGCTGTGCTCCTGCTGGCGCCAGCCACCTCCCTCCACTGAGCCCCACCAGCCCTGGAAGTGTTAGAACCACAGACGGGTTCACATCTGCAGAACCCACCGTCCCCAGGCCTGAGTCAGATACCCAGATCTCAGATCAGACAGTGTCCCTCCTGGTATCAGTCCCCAGTTGTCTTGGGGTGGCACACCCAAATCCCAGACCACTGGGCTTCCCTAGGACACTGAGCCCAAAGGACACTTCCTTCAGCTCCCACCAGTGTGTGACCTTGACAAGACACTCTGGGTCTATGTTTCACATTCAGGAAGTGGGTATAGACACTTGCTGTCCCCAGCACACAAGCGCAGACACACACCTGAAATAGCCCGCTGACGTCTAGATAAGTGCCTGTGCTGGGAGGAGGAAGGAGCCGACATGAGGTAAGCACCTACTGTGTGCTGGGCTGGGCTCAGAGCCTGTGGTTGCCTTTGTAATGTCTCCTGGCAACTCCCAGGGAGGCGGCCTCTTGCCAAGTTCACTCTGAGCTTGGAGTATTATCAACACGGTTGTTTGTTTTTGTAATGAGGGGAAATTCGCATAACATAACATTAACCATTTTAAAATGTACAGCCCCGTGGCCTTTAGCACACACACAGTATTGTGCAGCCTCCGCCTCTATCAAGTTCCAAGCTTTTCTCAACATCCCAAAAGGAAACCCTGTACCCACGAGCGGGCACTCCCAGCCCCTCCTCCCCCGGCCCCTGGCAGCCACTAATCTGCCTCTGTTCCCACGAGGCTGCCGCTTGCTTGCTCGCTGGGACAGAATCTTACAATACATGTGGTCTTTGGGGCCAGATTCCTTCCACTCAGTGAAACGCTTTCAAAGTTCATCCGAGTCGCAGCATACATGGGTGCCTTGTTCCTTTTAAAGGCTGAATAATATTCCCTTCCCTCTCATTGTTCGGCTCCCCATGGGTGGACACCTGGCCCCGCCTCTCACATGCCTGTCATGGTCTGAGTCCCTATTTTCAATCTTTGGAGCACCCACTGCTGGGGATGGATTTCCCGGGTCATCGGGTGACCTTTGACCTCCTGGAGTATTGCTAAAAAAAGGTGGTCCACAGCCACTGTTACTGATCTTTTGGTTCTAGGCAACCAGAGAAGGAACATTAAGACAGAGGCAGCAGGGGGCCAGTCTCCAGGTCAAGGGCTCAGTTGGTGGAGATCTGGCCTTCCAGGTACAAAGCCCTAGGCTCTGTATGGAGTAACACATAAACTGTATGTGGTGGCTCCCGCCGGCCATCTTAGCACTTGAGAGTTTCAAAGTCATTCTCAGCTACTTGAAGTTTGAAGTCAGTCTAGGCTAAAGGAGATCCCAGCCTCAAAAACAACAACAAAAATGTCTCCAGCTTTCAAACAACAGAGTCTAGTAGGCCGGTGGTGGTGGTGGTGGGTGGCATGAGCCTTTAATCCCAGCATTCGGGAGGCAGAGAGAGGCAGGTGGATCTCTGAGTTCGAGGCCAGCCTGGTCTACAAATCAAATTTCAGGGCAGCCAGGGCTACACAGAGAAGCTTTTTCTTGAAAAGACCAGTCATCATCAATGTCATCATCATCATCATCAGAGTGGGTTTGCTTAGCAAGGACACAACAGTAAGGAGAAAACGCCAGAGTGCCCCAAAGCTGGCAACTAGGCCTGTGGCGGGTCTTTGAGAACCCGGTGTTTTTCCAGGCCACAGTGCTCCCCAGGCAGCTGGGCAATCCCCATGTGGCCTGAACCCCCAGCGTGTGCCGAAGCCCTGTGACACTCAATCTCTGTGGCCCGCCCGCCCGCTCTACCTGCTAATCTGGCCAAGAACCCCCCTGGGTCTCCCGTGACACAATGGGGTGAACACGCCCCAGGCTGGCGTTGAGGAAGGGCATCTGGGCGGGTGGGGCTGGGAGCGGACTGGAATCTGGGGAATCCAGCCCAAAGTAACTGTAGAATCCTCAAGAAACCGAGCTGGGGAAATGAGATGGATGGGAACTCTACTGGGCACCTCCACCACAGCAAAGCAGCCACTAGATCTCAAGAGCACTTCTTGTTCCCAAGTTCCCCCAACAGGCTTGGACTTCATGCCTCAACTGCCTACCTGGAAGAGTGCTCAGACCCACCAGCTAAACTCTGGACATGTAAGGGGACACAGGATGAACTGCGGGCAGCCAAGAAATCAGGCCTCCTCTCCCACCTACAGACAGCTTCCTCTGCCACCCAGATGAGACTGTGTCACTCCCCAGCTCAGTAGCAATCCGTAGCTCCTTGTTGCCCTCTTCCTAGAAATAAAAGCCTAGGGTATTGGCTCTGATGATCCCTCCCTTCTGTCTCCACTGTCCACCTTGACTGTATCCATAGAGCACTCTTTTATCCTGCTGACCCTCCTCTCTGGCTCCATCTGAAAAATTCTACTCTTCCTTCTATCCACAAGCTCTGGCATCAAGAAGAACACTGGACATTTGTCCTGAGAGTCTAACGTCATCCCTCGGTACCCTGCTGCTTCCGTCTTTATGCCACCTCCGAATGGTAGGTACCCCAAGAATAGCGAGGTGAAAGTATCCAGGAAACTACTGTTGGATGTCAGCAACCAGACAACTCAGTTTTGTAGAGGATTTGACACCTTTCCCCAGAGACACGGGAGAAGCAAGCAGCATGTGCTTCCTCGCGTCGGGTGCAACCTCATCCATCCTTCCAGGAATTCAAACCACCACACACCCACCAGGACCCCCGTGAGCAAAACCGAGAGGCTGTAAAATGCCGAGTGCGCGTGAGGGGGCAGGAGGGCAGAGTCCTCCCGCCCTGCAGTCACTGTGCGCAGCGGTTTTGGCAGAGAGTTAAAAGTCACACACAAAGCTGCCCGGAAATTCCATTTCTTGGCATAGATCCAAAAGAACTGAAGACAGGTGTCGAAACAAAACCTTCTGTACAAATGCTCCCAGCAACACTATTCACAGTCACCAGAGGATGGAAATAACCCAATTCCCCATCGACGGATGAGTGGCTGAAAACAAAATGTGGTATGTCCATGCCATGGAATATTATTCAGCCATAAAAAGGAATGAAGCATGCATTCACGGCCCAGTGTGGAAAAAGCTCAAAAAGATTATGCCATGAGAAAGAAGGCAGACACAGAATCCCAGATGTCACCTGAGTCCATTTAAAGGTGTACAGAATGGGCAAATCCACAGAAACAGAAGGAAGAGACATGGGGGATGGGGGGACAAAGACTGACTGTTGACTAACTGTGGAATTCCCGTCTGGGTGATGTAGGCCAGTGGTCCTGCGATGTTATAAAAACACGAAATGGCATCATTTTGTGCTTTAAGATGGACAGAGCAGTAAATTTCATCCTATGTGCCTCTCAACATTTAAAAAAAAAAAAAAAAACTGCAATTCACAGCAGTCTAAACACCCGAGTGTAAGGGATCCATTAGACGAAGGCTTTCACCGGACGAGGGTGTTGGTACTGCCAAGACAGGAATTCCACCACCTCAGCCCAGTGTGTGACTCACGGGCTACAAGAAACATAGCCTAAGTGACCAGGTACCAATTTGAAGATGGCATTAAAATTGCCTTCCCTTGGAGACTGGCATCTGTGGGGTCTCCTGCCCTCCCCCCCCCACAAGCATTATGCCCTGCAGGGGGGTGGGGAGGTGAGAACTCAGAGAGGACAGGGAACTTGGGAGGGCTACAGTCCCATTTCAGAGCTAGCACCCCACTTCCAGAGCTCAGGGGTGGAGGCCGAACTGTGCATTGGGAAACCAGGCAGAGTCGGCAAGTCCAGAGAGAGGTGGTGGGCTGAGAGGTCTGTGTGTGTGGAGGGGGCAGGGGATCAGTCCTCCTTCCTTTCTTTTTTTAAAAGGATTTACTTATTAATTTATTATTCGCTTAGTGTGTGTGTAAGCGTGGGTGTGCCACAAAACACACGTGGAAATCAGAGGGCAACCTGTGAGAGTCGGTTTTCTCCTTTCACCTTATGGGTCTTGAAGATCACACTGGGGCTGTTAGCCTGGTAGAAGCCTCATTAATCCACTCACCCACCTCTTCCATGCTCTTTTCTTTCCTTCTTGTACATGTTCTTGTTCTTTTCTTCTTGTTGTCCTTTTTATTTAATTTTTTTTTTTTTGACAGGGTCTTACTCTGTAGCCCAAGCTGACCTTGAACTCACTCTATAATCCTGCCTCGGCCTCCTTTAATTGGAGTTGAAAGAGCATGCCACCCTACTAGACTAGGCCTGTTTGGGTTTTGTTTTGTTGTCCTCAAAACCCAATCTAAGTCACTTCTTTGCTGAAAAGCATTCATTCATTCATTCATTCATTCATTCATTCATTCAGGCTTATGGTGTAGAGGTCTCCATACACTAACCCCCAGGCACCAACTAACCAGCTCCTAGAACAGGCTACACCATGGCCCATCCAAGCCTTTGGGACAGGGGAGTGGATTGAAAGCAGAGCCTGTGAGTGGGAAACACTGTTAAAATTCTATTGTAAGCAACCGGGTGCCAGCAGGAGGCTAGTGGCGTGTGGGGCCTTGCTGGGGCTGTTGGCAGTGGGGTGGAAGCACGCCTGGCACCCTCACCAGGCCGCCCTGTAGGTGGGCCCGGCTCTCATCCCACACTGGGAAAACCCTCTTCCTAGCTAGCAGCTGCCTGCTCAGGTGTCCAAGTGACCAGAGCAGGGAGGCCTGCGAGCGGAGAAGCCTGGCAGGGCTGTGTGCCTTTGTGGCTGACTTTTTCCGCGGAAAAATTCTGTTCTGGGCTTGTCCCTCGAACAGCTCAGGGGCCCTAGGACGTGGGCAAAGTGCCAAGAACAGTGGGCTACACTGTGAGCTCTGCAAACCTTCCTCAACTCTGCCCTGAATCAGTCTCCTGGAGAGCTCTCAGAGGAGCTGGGAACAAGGCCTCCAGCCCGACACCAGAGGCAGCAGAGGCCGAGGAGGACCTGAGT